AGTCAGAAGAGAAGTGATTGATGATGCCAGAAGATACAATCCACAGCCAACTTTGCGTGTTTCTTTGTTTTGAAATGTTACAATCGAGAAAATACTGTTGACTAAACCTGCAGCAAACATGAATATTGTTATAAGGACACTCATTTTGATAATAAATGATTGTTTCATTAGTGAGATATTTGGTTGAATATGATCACGTAAGATATCATCGAGAATGATTCCAATACTTTTCGAATAAAATTGACATAGTCCACCAACAAAACAACGTCTTTGGATCTGAACTAAAACATATATCAATTTCATTTATTTAACTGAATAAATCATTTAAACTACGCATGACAATGTCTTTCTATTCTTTAAAGAAACGAAAGGATCAACGCACTTGTCTTTCGTTTTTAAAACTTTCCAAAATCTCTTATTTGATTAAAATAAAGTTTAGAAAGACTTTTTTGTCTTTCTCAAAAGATTTACGTCAAATTCTAGTGAAAGTGAAGAAGATACTGTGACAAATCTCTATTGAGCTTTGCATAGATAACTAAGAAGAATCTTATGGACTTCTCCGACTTAAAAGACTCTAATTGGTGAAGTTTTGGTAACATATATGTAGATATGAAGTGATATCTTTAATTCAACGAACATCGAACTTCTTAAAAAATTTGAGCATTTTGATGTAGTCTGTGCTTATTTACGATTTGTGTCTTTTTCAAAGTTGTTTTTCCCGATCGTTATGATCTATGCATTTGACCTATAATAAACTAAAATCTTTTGACGTTCGATTTGTCTGTTTTCGTCATTGAATTTTCTAAGGTAAACACGAATCTGAACTCAATTTCTGTGATTTATAAAGATACTATATCAGTTTGAGAGTAAAGTCAATGGTTACCAAATAAGATCACATATAGTGTAATCCATGTTAAGTTAGGAGATATGGCACGTAAGTCACGAATGACTTTTATAAAATGTGCTCAAATCTATTTGAAATTATCTCTATCTTGTAGAGCACATTTTTTAACCGATTTACATTTTAATCTTACTCGATTTTTCCTGACTGCTATATATATCTTCTTCTAAATGATTTTCGACGAGAATTATCACAATATCCAAGAAAAACAGTAAAGTACCTAGTAATAAGAAATGTATCTTGATGAGACTTATATCTTCTATGAAAAAACAAATACAAAGGCTAGTGTACCACTTGAGAGAAGTCCAAAATATTGCCGCTTGGAAGGTACTATATTTCGTTGAATTTGCACAACATTTGATTTACATCAATTCTTCTATCTCATAACTTATTCACTTGAATGGAATAATTTTATAGCCTAAAGTGTTTTTTCGTCCAACTGAGATCTCTCCCGTAGCTTAAATGATCAAGCCGATCACCAGACAAAGCTGAAATATCGAGCGTATACTTAAGATAGCTATTTTCTTCGGAATTGCTAGAGCTTCCCTGAAACTACAAACTGAAGCCAATCACAAGAGTGAGTATACTGATGCGTTTCAGATTTCCTCATTATTACTCTTCGCAAAGGTCTGATACTCATGCTTTTGTACTGATATTGTCAGTCGCTGCTTTTAGTTAGTTTGATCGATAAGAATCTATCAACAATCATGTGTAATTTCTTATCACGTAATCCAGAAAAACTTCTGCTTGAACGTAATAAAGAACTGCCCTTTACATCCTGCGGATGTTCCCATTTGTTACATACTGTTCGATTGTAAATTCTACGAGCTACAACATGGTATATAACATGCAAAGAAACAAGAGACCTAAGTTATTTATTTAGCACACATGATTTATGCATAAAGTGGTTTCAGTGTGACTAACGATCTTGTTGACTCACAATTAGGGCTCTATCTTACGATAATAGATATGTTACTTCGATGTTTTCTGTATCACAGAACTCGTATATACACTTCGTTTGTCTAGAAACCCCACTGATTAAATAGTATTTCAATAAAAATCAAGTTTTGAGAAAAATGTTTGTTTTAGGGTAAATGAAGGCAGAGAGTTTAAATATGGGTTTTATTCAATTCAAAAGTCATTTG